GTGCAAACTCCAGACAGACAGTTCCCCAAGGGTGGAATCGAACCCAGGTCCCTGGCGCTGTGAGGCAGCAGTATTAACCACTGAGCCACCATGCTGCATTGTTACGGCCTTTACCACATTTACCTTAATCCTACAGTGATCAGCCAAGCCAGCCAGAATATCAAGTAAAACAACGTAAACAGAAAATTTCTGGAAATGCATGTTTGTAACAGTCCACAGATAATGATACTTCAACTAGTTACTGTGAAACAGAGGAGTCCATTTTCAGCATTTTGTGTTTTGCATTAGGTTGCACTTCATTATTTTTGATTTTATTCTCATGCTTAAGCCATAATGACGTGTATTTCTCTTCAAAATTGAAAGAGCGTATATTATTCATAAAGAAATTGAAGTAGCTGTCTACTTTTCCCCAAATTAAGAATGGGGAAATGAGCTGACTTGACATTTTCCATTCTCTTAGTTATTAAAATATAGATATTAGATGTGCATATATTGCACATCCCCATTTGTGTTGAGGAGGTTCATCTGGTTCGAAAACCGAAAGAACTGTGGATGCTGTAAATCAGGAACAAAAACGGAAGTTGCTGAAAAAGCTCAACAGGTCTGGCAGCATCTATAAAGAAAATAATCAGAATTAACGTTTTAGGTCCAGTGAGACTTCCTCAGAACTGACAGTAGCTGGCAAAACGTCCGTTTATATGCAGAAATATGCAGGAGGGGGATGGGGTAGGGAGTAAACGACAGCATAAAGGATAGAGCCCAAAGAGAGAGAAGAACAGTTGGGTAGACAAAGGAGTTGATAACGATCTGGCTAGCAAGGTGAATAGCTGTTAATGGGGACTGTTTGAGACAAACACTAGGTAGTGTGTAATCGCAAGCTACGTGATAACAAGGCCTGGTGTGTGGGGTAGGGGGCTAGGACATTAGAGTTTAGGCCCTAAAGTTATTGAACTCGATATAGAGTCCGGAAGGCTGCAGGTTCCCTAAGCGGAAAATTAGGTGCTGTTCTTCCAACTTGCATTGAGCTTTGTTGGAACGCTGCAGCAAGCCAGTGACAGAGATGTTGGCCAGGGAACAGGGTGGTGCATTTAAGTGGCAGGCAACGAGAAGTTCAGGGTTAGTAGGAACTGCAGATGCTGGAGAATCCGAGACAACAAGGTGCAGGGCTGGATGACCACAGCAGGCCAAGCAGCATCATAAGAGCAGAAAGGCTGACGTTTCGGGCCTAGACTCTTCATCAGAAAAGGGGGAGGGGAAGGGAGTTCTGAAATAAATAGGGGGAGAGTGGGAGGCGGATAGAAGATGGATAGAGGAGAGGATAGGTGGAGAGGAAACAAACAGGTCGAAGAGACGGGGATGGAGCCAGTAAAGGTGAGTGTAGGTGGGGAGTTAGGGAGGGGATAGGTCAGTCCAGGGAGGACGGACAGGTCAAGGGGGCGGGATGAGGTTAGTCGGTAGGCAATGGGGGTGCAGCTTGAGGTGGGAGGAGGGGATAGGTGGGAGGAAGAACAGGTTAGGGAGGCAGGGATGAGCTGGACTGGTTTTGGGATGTGGTAGGGGGAGAGGAGATTTTGAAGCTTGTGAAATCCACATTGATACCATTGGGCTGCAGGGTTCCCAAGTGGAATATGAGTTGCTGTTCCTGCAACCTTCGGGTGTTGCCAGCAGAACATAGATGTTCTGCGAAGCAGTCACACAGTCTGCGCTTCCTTTCCCCAACGTAGAGGAGACCACATTGCGTCCTAGCCCCCTACCCCATACATCAGGCCTTGTTTTCACATAACCTGCCATTACACACTACTTATTGTTAGTCATTAACAGCTATTCACCCTCCCAGTCAGATCGTTATAAACTCCTTTGTCTACCCAACTGCTCTTCTCTCTCTTTGGGCTCTATCCTTTATCCTGTTGTTTACTCCTTACCCCATCTCCCTCCCTATTTTCTGCATATAAACCGACATTTTCCCACCTACCATCAGTTCTGAGGAAGGGTCGTGGGCCCAAAACGTAAACGCTGATATGAACCCAGGTTCATATAGCAACTGTTAGTGCCCTTCAGGGGGCAAGGACATTAAGAATCAATCATGTAGTGTAGATAAGAGTGAGCAAGTGCACATTTACTGCTTTCATGATGGTTTACCTCAAGTTGTAGCACAGATATCACAAAATCAAAATGGGGTGACAGCCCAGGGACATAAGCATTACTCTCCTGGAAATTCAGAACAAAAATGCTGTGAGACTTGAAAAGACTAAAGTGTTGGGGTTCAAAACAATGTGTAAGGTTTAGCCACACATGTTGCTGGGAATGAAGAGTTTTAGTTATAAGGAGAGGCCAGAAAGACAGAGACTTTTGAAGTTGGAGTGTAGGAGGTTGAGGGGTGACCTTATAGAGGTTTATAAAATCCCAAATCATGAGGGACACACATAAGGTGAATGGCAGGTGTCTTTTTCCTAGGGTGGAGGATTTAAAGACAAGGGGGCATATTTTTAAGGTGAGAGGAGAAAGATTTTAGAAAGACATGAGGGGGCAGCTTTTTATTTGTTTACACAGTGTGGTTCATGCGTGCAATAAACTTCTAGAGGAAGTGGTGGATGCGGGTACAATTACAAGGTTTAAAAGACAATCTGATAAGTAAACAAATAAAAAATGTTTGGAGGGATGTGGACCAAGTATAGGCAGGTGGGACTTGTTTAGTTTGGGATTATGGTCGACATGGACTGGTTGGACCAAAGAGTCATACAACACGAAAATAGACCCTATGACGGAACGATAACAATGGGATAAAATAATACCGGATACCACCAAGGCAGGCATGATTTTCCATACTTAATTCAAACTGTGACAATTCCAGTCCAGAAGTGGTCATTAGCTCTTCACATGACCTGCTATTACGAAAGGTTATTTTGCCCTTGGTTTTTTCGAAGCGAGGTTGTAAAGGCAGAGGTGACAAAGTCTAGGGAGTAACAGTTTAACAATGGAAGGGGAGTGACCAGTTCTCCCAGGTTCAGGATTTTTCTAGTTTTTTTTAAGCTGTAGCAGTCGCAAGATGTTTTGGGTACCAGAGGGTTGCAAGCTTCAGTAAATGATTCCTAACTGACTTTCTCTGAAATCTCTCTGGATGTTGTTCCCTCCTACCTGTAAGGATGTGTATTTAAATTTACCTTTTTGCCCAAGGGTGTGTTTATGGGATGTTACTACATTGGTACAGTTAATTAATTAGGTTACTCTATCAAGTATTCGGTTAAGTTTTCCAATAGCTGTTATTCTAAATTCCACTTTCTTCTGTTCGTGTTTTAGCTGTAGTGTTTAACTAAGTTGTGCTTTGCTTAAAGCCAAGTGGTTTGACCAGTTGCATCATGTCTGGAACAACCACTTCACATCTACCTTTAAAATAAGAAAATGTTAGGGTCTAGGCTGCCTTAAAATATTTTGAGGGTGTCTGGCCTGGTCCATGACACGATCTCTATGGATCCAAGTTGCAGGCTTACTGCAGCATGTTTTTGGAGAAGCTTGGTGTGGAAGCTTTGTTGCTTGAATTAGATGCAAATCATTTGGTCTGATACAGAATATTTTACACAGGTCAGGAATCCTTCATCTGAAAATCTTGGGACCAACCATCTGTCAGATAAATAACGTTTTCTGCTTTCAGACACTTTTAAGTTCATTTGGGCCCTTTTGGGGGGGGTGCGGCAGTGGGTTGAGGAGAGAATTGTTTGACCTGAACAGACCTGTTCACTTTTTGGTCCGTTTGGGCCAGGTGAAGTTTCTTTTCGTTAAGGGTTCAAAGTCAATGTCTATCAGTCTGATCGAGACTACATTCGAAAAGACCTTCAGTTTTTAGGTCTTTTTGGTTTACAGACATATGATTAAAGGATACCCTACCTGCAGTTGCAGGCTCTTGCAAGTCATATTTATGACAGAAGAAATCTTATTTGGTAGAATTAAAACTGATTAGTTTGGCTGTAGACAACATAATTTTATGCAGACTTCAAAACATTGCTCTCTCACAGGCAAAGGTACAGGGCATTCACCAGGTTCACAAACTGAGGCATCTTATCTTGGGTGAAACATTGCAAACAACTTCCTTAGCCAAGGCCCCCTGTTTCCAAATGCTGCAGGGACATACAAGGGAAAAAGGAAGTACTTCTAAATAACAAACAAAATTAACATCCATAATGTAAGTTAGACAGCAAATGAATATCCAACTGTACTACATCGATGTATTTCAAGCATTAATGGTACTAGACATGTTTAATAAAGACTTTAACAAAACCCCTCTATTCTCCCCTCTATTCTTTTTCTGTGCCCTATTTGACATCAATTTCAACCATTCCACCTTGCTCTTTCTTTGTCAGACATTCTTCTATTTATTTCATAATCCTTCAATCTGAATGGTTAACAGGGTATACAGGGTATTCATCCTGTTCATTTAGGTCCTCGATACCCTGTTTCCCCTGCAGAAATGTTTTAGCTCACAATTTTAGCAATTTACAGCACAAAGTACCTTGACGTTATATAGGCAAGTCAATGTATTATTATGACAGTTACCATTAGACTGACTCCTACAGAACACTAAAGACATTTGTACTTTTACAATTTGAATTCTCTAAGGTTCAAAACAAAGACAAAACAGCAAACATGACATCAATTATGTTGCACAAAACCTCATGTCAATTAAGGCAGTCTATAAAATGCAGACATGCTTTTCTTGGGGAAAAAAAACTTGATATTTACATAGTTCTCACTTATCTTCCTTCAAATAGAATTAGCCAGATATCGGAATATAAATTTAGTGATGTTTGTGGAAGTAGTCAAAACCTTAATAAATGGAGTCACTCAATATCGCTTCCTATATACCTGCACATTGATACATTTCCAAAATTAAACAACTCTCGAATTGGGTAAAATTTACAGTGCACAAATGTTGATTGCCTTTTTTAAAGAAGAAAAATAAAATACGATTTCAAGCACCAATTATTCGCAAAATTCAAAAAACTTACCAAGAAGGCTGGCTCCCAGCAAAGGGAGGTGTGGTAGCAAAGAGTTGTTCAGTTTTGTAGGTCCTGTTGAATGCCCAGCAGCTGAGATGGGCAGCAGCGATTCTGCCATTGACATAACTGCTGTCCCACCAAGAGTTGAGACGGCAAGTGCTGCTACTGATGATGATGTGGTGGTTGTGGTAGTTGCCTGGGATGAGGTTGCTATGGAAACCTCAGAATGGTTAGCAGCATGGTCTGAAGGAGAGTGCAAAACACTTCTCAACAGATGGGGATTCAGGGCCATCAGTCCTGGAGCTGCTGTGACAGCTGGAAGGAGGAGAGGGTTTGAAGTAGTGTCATTTGGAGGGCTTGTTAGAGGGTTTGTCAAAAGGGTTTCTGTTCTGTTACTAACTAATTGATTGCTATGCAAATGATCTGGCAGGGGCTGGATCTGTGTCACTGAAGGTGAAGGGTGGTTTTGCTGCTGTAATAAATCTGGGAGAGTTAAATTAAAAGATGTCAGTGGGAGCATAGTAGCTTGTGCCTGGTTTTGAAACAAGGTAGCCAAAAGTTGAACAGGTTGCAGAGTCTGTCCAGCCATATCACCAGGGAGCAAAGTCAAAGCTGAATTTAAAGTTGGGTTCAGAATTCCCAAAGGGTTAACAGAGACTTCTCCTTTGCCATCTCCAGATGTAGGTAACATGTTCAGCATATTTTGGTTCAGGAGCTGTTGTTGGCTCATTGCTAAGGGGATGGACAGAGATCCAAGGAGATTTGGGTTCAAAGGGTGGGTTAGATTGCTACTTGTAGGGACAGCCTGTCCAAATTGAAAAGCTTGGTCCTGACCAATGAAGGGAAGAGTGCTCCCCACGGGAATCTGACTATGCATTGCATTTCCAGCTGCTGTTGTAACTATAACTCCATCTTGCAGAACGGATGTTGTCTTGGTAATGGCAAGTTGGTTGGTGCCAGCAATGGCCATGGATGCTGGCTGGCCAGAACTACCTGAAACCCACACAGACAGGTTAAAGATGAGTAAAATATTCTCAACTTACGATGTTAGCATTCACAGTGAATGTAGGTCATATATCTATCTTTATATTAACAATTCAGCACAGGAACTTACAACACAAAAGAGACCAACTACTAGAAAGCTTCAAAAGCCAATTTAATTAACCAGTTGAGATATAATCCAGGTGTTCAAAATACTACAAAAGTGAGCGGTTTAATAATGGTCAGGTTTTTAGTTCAATCATTATCAGTTGGATATATGAATCAAAACCAAAATATTTCAACTTAAAAGAAAATCCCCAAATCTAATTAAAATACTGGCTATTATATTGGAAAACAAGAATTTAAAGGTTAAGGTTTTTCTAACAATTGCATGGGGCAGAAAGGCACATTCTTTTACTTGTTTTTCCTTATAATAATGGATAGTTTATTCTGAGTGAAAAGCTGTTTCATCAAACGCTTAAACAAGTCACAGGAACAGAAATCTCAATACAAATCAAAATGTTTAATTAAAAACTGAAAACTGAACTTTCCATTTGTAATTATCGAAGTTAAAAGTAAATTTCTCAACACATTAGAACCTTTTCTGTAAAAGCATTATACATGTACCAGGATAATAGTAATCTGAAAATTTAATTTTGCAGCCTGTTTTACTGGCTGAAATTTGTAGTAGTACTTCACATTGGTTTAATTTGACCATTTCCTTTCTATAATCCCAGGCAAGCAGCTTAATTTTTTTTTAATTTTAGTTATAGCTATGCTTTTCTTTCCTTTCACATCCTTATATTTACTGCTTTTTCATTGCAGCAATGAGAGGTAGGCCTTTTTAGGTAGAATATTTCTGTACGTCAGTGTTGCTATTTATCATTTAATGCGAAGGTCTGATGAGAGATAAAATAGGGCCTCCTGCTGCTCTTTTCCTGCCCCATTTGCAATTGAGCATGCAGCCATGATGAAGTAATTTTCAGTCCTGGACAAGTAAAAGGATTATTCAATAGAAAGCAATAACTAATTTATAATCTAGGATTGGTGACCACAGAGAGACTGAAAAAAGGAAAAATGCCAGGCATAAAATTTCGATAGAAGTTTAAAATGAAGAATTTAATGTAACTGGTCAAAACTTCAGCTGGCATTTGAAATTTGGAATAAAGAGCATAATATTGATATTACTGCAAATATTGGTTGTTGCTCACCGAGCTGGCTTGTTCTCATTCAGATGTTTCATCTCCGTATTAGGTGACATCATCAGTGGAGCCTCCGATGAAGCGATGTTATTCTACTCCGCTTGGAATTTATACCGTCCGGTCCATTATAGTGAGTAGTGTCATTCCCGGTATTGATCTGAATGGGTTTGTAAATGGAGTCCAATTCTATATGTTTGTTGATTGCATTACGGGTGGAGAACCATACCTCTAGGAATTCCCGTGCATGTCTATGTTTGGCTTCGGCTACTATGGTTACCCTGTCCAGGTAAACTGATGGCTTTCATTGTCTGAGTGTACGGATATTAGGGAGAGTTTATCATGCCGTTTAGCTGCTAGCTGATGTTCGTGTATTCTGATGGCTATTTTCCTTCCTGTCTGTCCGACGTAATGCTTGTGGCAGTTGTTGCATGGTCTTTTGTAAACCATGTTGGTTCTTCATGTTGTGGGAATGGGGTCTTTAATCCTTGTGAGTGTTTGTTGTAGAGTGGCTGTGGGCTTGTGGCCACCATGATTCCTGGTTATCTTAGGAGTCTTGTTAACAGTTCTGATATGTTCTTGATGTATGGCAGTGGGTTAGGGCGTACTGTGTCCTCCTGTTGTTGATAGAAGGCTCCACTAATGATGTCACCTAGCACGGTGGTGAAACGTCTGAATGAGAACAAGCCAGCTCACCGAGCAAGTCGACAACCTCACCTACAACCCGAGCTAAGATTGTTGCCAAAACTTTGAACGGCAAACTTTGTTTAATTGGCACAGGATTTGGAATTTCAAATAATTATGAATCTGCCTGACTGAAAGCTCATCTTTAAATGTTTTGGATTAACTTTAAATCAAAAATTTCCAATACATATGTATATGCTTCAGTTCGTTTATGACACAATTAACCTTTTTTGAATAAACAGTAGTTGCTGAAAACAGCAACATGTTGTCAAAGCTTTCAGTCTTGGATGAAACGTGAACGTACCAATGAGGAGAAGGAAGCTATTCAGCCCTTATAACCTCTTCATCTTCCAAGAGGAGCATGGTTGATCTGATTATTCCACACTATCAACTATCACTGACAACCTTTCACTCTCGTTTTTCAAGAATCTATTTACTTGCCTTAATATTATTCAAGGACATTCTTCCTCAAAAGATGGAAGTAGAGTTCCAAAGATTCTTGATCATCAGAGCACTTCTTATCTCTGTCTTAAATGGGTGACACATTATTTACAAACAATGACACCTAATCCTAGATGCTCCCAGAAGTGGGCACATCCATCCCATGTAAAGATGCCTCAGATCTTATATGTTTGAATCACAGTGTCTTGTACACTTTTAAACTCCAGTAGATACATACCAAGTCTGTCCAACCTTTCTTCATAAGGAAACCTGGCCACTCTTGGTATTGGCTTTTAAACCTTTTCTGAAATGCGTCCAAAGCATTTACATTTTTCAATACTATGGACAGCACTCCAAATGTTGTCTCACTAATGCCCTGTATAAGCGAAGCATAACCTTCCTAATTTAGGTACTCAAATCACCTCAAAATAAATGATAACATTCTACAAAAAAAAAGTCAAAACAACTGCAAATGCCGGAAATCAGAAGCAAAAACAAAAAACCCCCAAAACTTGCTGGAAAATCTCAGGTTTGGCAGTGGAGAGACATCAGAGTCAACATTTCGGGTCCAGTGACCCTTCTTCTCTCTGCAGATGTTGCCGAACGATAACATTCTATTAGTTTTACTAATCACTTGCTGTACCTGCAAATTCATGTTTTGCATTTCACGCACTCAAACAGATTAAAACTCTGCAACATCGCACCGTTTAGATATGCTTCCTTTTTATCTCTCCTGCCCAATGGTACAATTTCACGTTATCTCATTATGTACTTTGATTTGCTAGATCTTTGTTCACTCATTTAACCTGTCTAGGTCCTCTTGTAGCCTCCTTACACCTTGCTTTCCTAATTAACTGTGTTTCATCAGCAAATTTAGCAACTGTACTTTTGGTCAATTCATCCAACTGTCAAATGCCAAGCTTTAAACAATGAAACAATTTACAAAACAAAAGAAAGGGCTAATGATTGGCTTGCAAGTCCATTCTAGTAAACTACAGGCTCCCCATGCTTGTTGGTAATTGAAAAATGTGCATGTCTTGGATATACTCTGCCTGGCTGCAGAAAACAGGTCTCTTCAGATAAAAATTGCAGTTTTGATCTCATCAGAGGAAGGATGTTCACGCTGTATCTTTATACGGAGCTTCACCAGATTGATTCTTGAGATGGCAGGACTGATGTCTGAAGAGAGGTTGAAGTGGTTAGGATTACACTCATTCAGAACAATGAAGGCGGACTCTCATCGAAACCTATAGAATTCTAACAGGAACGCAGGAATGAAGAATGTTCCCAATGACAGGAGAGTCCAAAACTAGGTTTTAGTCTAAGGATACAGCGTAAACCATTTCAGACTGAGATGAGGAGAAAGTTTTTCACTCAGACAGTCTCAAGCCTATTTGAGCATGGGGTGGAGTACTTTAAATATAAGTAAGGAAATGTTTGCACATACCTGCAGATTCAAATATACATATTGGAAATAGGCACATGTTAGGACGATAGGACTAATTCAGTCAAAAAGTTGTTTCACAGGAAAACTGACAAAAGTGAGACAATGCTGGACTTTGAGAAGATCCTATGGCTACTCCATCTACTTGGGCATAACATAACATCATTGAAATGGAACTTATCTATATGCATAACTAAGTTTGTAAGTTCAATTAATACAGATTCATAAAATGGTGACCCCTTTAAGTTTCTGCTAGAGAAATGAGCAACTGTTGTCCATTTTATTGAATGGCATGCTTGCAAACAGGCCTGCAATATTCAATGAGCACACAGACAAGGTGCTGCTTTCGATAGGTAGGTCACATGTAGTTTGAGCATAGGAAAAGGGATCCCTTCCCATTGGGATGTATCCTATCATATATGTTGCAAAATAGCTTGGTACTCATGCACAAATTAAACAAACATTTTTGCAGCCTGCTTTCAAGCAAGGCTGTGCAATCACACTCAGTGGCAGATCTAATAGATGTGAATTTGGGATCTCTCAAAAGAATACAGTGAATTTTGTCAACATAAATCGCATTTGCTTAGCAAGATTCCTCTAGCGCCTTTGCCAAGTACAAATATTAAACGCTTGGTTCGGCCTTGACACCTTGCAACTTCAATTCAGTGTCAGTGTGATGCCAGGTACAAAGGTGCATGCCCCAGCGACTGGCTGATCAAAGAAAACATGCTTCTCTGGTTGTCCATATCACAGAATGTCGACCATACTCAATCTGCCTGCAATTGCAAAACCCAAAACATGTAATTTGTGATTTGCTATCACTTGCTGAACAGACCTGAGTGATCAAACAGCTACTTTGACAATAAATTTAAGTTTATTAGTAAAGGTAGTCACATTGCTCATTTATATATGCCTTTATTTTGCAAAGAATGGGCCCTGCATATATCCAAAAATATCAGTTCTGAGGAAGGGTCACCAGACCCAAAACGTTAATTGATTTTTTCTTCACAGATGCTGACAGACCTGCTGAGCTTTTCCAGCAACTTCTGTTTTTGTTCCTGCATATATCCAAGCCTTGTACCATTTTGAGCAGTCCAACATGGGAAGCCTAAAGTTTCCAAAACATTGTATCACAGCAATGCTTCATTCAATTAAAAGTCAAGTCACCAACTGATCACCAGCCCTCTCATGTTATAAACTGATATTATTGTTTGAAATCTGCATCCTGTATTCATTCTGATCAG